AAAGCGAATGAGTGTATTTTCCAAAATGTCAGACTATTCTTTGTAGATATATAATATAATAATAATAGGTATGTTTTCATTAGTGAATAATCACCTGAAAATAACAATCGTAGTGTTTTCGTTACCTTAGAATGAAACGTTTTTATCTACAGAGAGAGCAGGTCCTCTTCCATAGAGGCCACCATTTTTAACCACCATGTTGCTACACTAGCCCAGGACAGACAAACCAAAGAGTCACGTTTTTTGTGAGTTTCATGTGTTTCTCCCACACACTTGGAATGAAAAGATGAGGCAAGGGAGTTGTAATTTGCAACTACACTGCTAGATGCCACTAAATCCTACACACTGATCCTTTAAACAAGCACGAGTATGTGCTTTGATAATCCTATCTCAAAAACACAAGCTGATTAAATCATTGGAGATGTACCATTCAGTACAAATACATTCTTATTAGAAAGGCCAATGTAAGAACTGATCCAAGTTACAGTCAGAGCACAACCATCTATCTTTCTTCCCTGTCCTCCTCTCAGAGTGAAGAATGAGGTCATCTGTTGCCCTGCTGGCCCTGCTGCTTGTTCTGGGCTTGACCACTAGTGTATGGAGTCTGAACCCGGACGACCCCAATGTCTGCAGTCACTGGGAGAGGTGAGCATTATTCTCTTGTGTTTACCCCAGTATATTGAATTTTAGATTTGAAAGAGAATCTTCTGTATTTTAACTGCACCAGCTCCCACAATTGACATCCTGGAACTTTTTCAATGTACCTGCTGCACGCGCTCTTAACTAAAGTTCTAGATCTATTCTCAAAGTCCATACAGCAGTATCGATCTCACACAGCTCAAGTCACCAAGCTCTGAGAGATGGGAGGAGTTGCAGCTTCAAATGAAATATGCAGGCAAATTGATCAGTGTACTCTCATCCCAATCAATCACGACAGCCATAAAGCCTGAATAATTATTAGTTGTGCTGGGCAGTGTCACTTATGAGAAATAAGCAGGAATAATTTCTTTCTTCAATGCAAAGGGGAGGAAAGAAAGCTGTGAAGATATATTGTCTGGATTATTGCCTGACCAAGGTGAGGGTACTTAGGGATCGTGGTTCCACCTTGTTGGCATCGAAATGAATTCCTTAAGTGAGCTGTGTTCATGGCTTTGAGGTCCTCCAATATCCTCTGGCTGCATATATCACTAACATGAATCTAAAAGCTGCTTTCAATCCTTTCTTTGCATATCAATGTGATTGTATTACTTACACTGGGACTGCATCCATTGACAGGACCTGTATGCTGTTATTTTTTTTTCTCTTCAAACATCTTGAAGGAGCATGACAATCTATGTTCATTGCAGCGTCTTTCACTGATGGAAAAAGCATTCAGATCTTTTATTTTAGTAAAAAAAGTTATTTTATAAGCCCATCATGTGTTTTTATGTAAAATCGTAATGTTAAATCTTACAAGTAACTATAGCTGTCAGATAAATGTGAACAGAAAATGGCTCCTGTGACTGACTATGATTATATATTATATTATATTATATTATATAGCAATTGGTTGTAGATGTCTGAGGCCAAGCTGGCGTACTATTAATAGTTTTCATCCAGTGGTTCCTGATTTTGTTGGGTTGGGGACATGATAAATCTGAGGGGTCTTGAGATGATTAATAGGACAGTAGAAAAGAAAGAACTACATTCTGCTAAATGCATTTGTATGTATTTCGTAACGTTTTTTTTATAATGTTTGCTTTTTTTGTCAAATAACATTGCTTCTTTGGGCCTAAAAAAACTTTTTTAAGTGTGACTACCTGAGAAGTTATTTTATAAGCTCATCATGTGTTTTTTATGTAAAATCTTTTATGTGAAAACTTACAAGTAACAATAGCTGTAAATGTAGTGGACTAATAATACCCTCCAAAATATAGTTCAACTATAGTATCTTAAATTGGAATTAGTCAAGTAAAGTAAAGTTACCTCTAAATTAAAAGTACAGTACAGTTCTTCCCACCACTGCTGTCTTTACATTTCTGTCTTTTAGCTACGCTGTGACTGTCCAGGAGTCCTACGCTCACCCATTTGACCAGATCTACTACACCAGATGCACAGATATCCTCAACTGGTTTAAATGCACAAGGCACAGGTACATTCTCCTTATTTGTTTCTATATTTGTTTCATCAGGGATTCAGCCTTCACTGTCCCCCAAAAGCAGAGCCAAGTCTATGAAGGCCACAGTAAATGTCCTTGTTAATGTGGCGGACAGTGAAGTGGTCAGAGCCAGGATGCATCTGACTGTAATCATCTTACAGTAAATGTTTTAATTACTCCATTAAGGTTTATAATGGGCATCCAACTAAATAAGTACAGAGTCCCAAATACTGACTTTTATTTTAGCAGGTGTTTTATACAAACTTCCACTGGCTTTTAATTCTGTTTCCTCGTTGTACTTGAAAATCATGTTACAACCTGCTTTTACCTTTTATATGTTTTCTTGCCCTTCAGAAAGGGTCACTCTTTCCATCACGTAGCTCTCTCGGTGTGTCTGTTTTTCCAGGATCAGCTATAAGACAGCTTACCGGCGGGGAGTGAGGACCATGTATAGGCGCCGCTCACAGTGTTGCCCTGGTTACTTTGAAAGCGGGGACTTGTGTGTTCGTGAGTATCCTTTATTTAACTCCTTTGTCCTCGATGATGACATTTCAGTTTATGTCTGCTAGACATTTACAGAAAAGAAGTAAATATTAGGATTGATTGGTAATGTGTGTGCCCACCCCGCCTCCATCGCACCCACACCAGTCTGATGCTTTCTTTTTATAATGAACACCCAATAACATGCCACCATCCATGTGAATTTACTCAGTTTAAGACGATTGAGCACGATTTAACATTGAGGCACAGTATTTTACTGCTCTCTTCCAGTAAGAGTAATATAATCAAAGTTGTATAACAATGAGAAAATTTTATGAGCCAAGAGGGTCCTGGTTACAGAGTGAGTAGGTAGCACCCACCATAAAACCACACCGGAATTCAATAACCTAGAAAGAGCAGAAGCCGTTAAACCTGGACTGTAGCAATACGCTGATAACAATCCTTCACTGTCACTTTTGTAGCTTTATTAATGGTCATTGATTTCTATTTTCACACATCTAACAGAATATTTTTGCATGTTGGCCAAATAAAGACAGAGCATATAGCTTCTGAAAGTTAAGTTTTTGATATTCTCGCCTTACCTAATGTTTTATTCCCTTTAAATAAGATTAGAATCACACTTGAATATTTTCCTAGATCTTTTGCAACATGAGGGAGTTGCTGATACAGTGACTGCAGCCGTGTTCTTTGACCACAGCTGAGCTTGTCCTTGTCTAGGCTCCGCTAGCCTCAGGGTAGCAGAGCACCGGGAAGCCAGCCAGCAAAGAATAAGAGCCGGTGTGAAGAGGCAGACGCAGATTGATCAATAATGTATTCATTAACCATTTGACTGACAATGGAGCTATTTGTTCATTAACAGTGTTTTCAGGGTGTTAACTGGGTGAATCTACAAACTGCAGAGGTGCATCTCAAACGTGGCCTCTCCACTGTATGAACAATAGGTGTTGTTTTGATATTATGTTGGGCTGAGAGTGAAAGCAGCTGCCCTCCCCTTTAACCCTCTTTCAGGTGAAGAGAGGAGGCTGAGTTGATAGGGGCCGAGAGGGCAGTTTTGCTTTCTGCTGCCTTTGCAAACCGTTCCACCCCTTTTAATCCTAGCACTCTCACTACTAGGATTAAGAGATTTGTATTCCCTGAGCTGTTTTGCATGCAGTGACAAAGGGGGCCTTATAGAGTAAATTGACCCAAAATTAACTCAAGTTGTCTATTTCAGGACACTTTGTTATACAGTTAGTTTACAGTGGATTTATCCATGAAGACTATTTCATTAAAAGGCAGAAATGCTTCCTGAATGTTTGCCTTTTAATCTTGCCTGTGTTATTTTATTTTTTATTTTTGTCATATGGCACTACATCAACTCTTACATTAAATCCTATGAGAGACGGCTAAATGAATCTGGGGATGTGAAGACCTCGAATGAACCAAATTATCACGCAAACACACAAAAGAGAATACTTCTGACACTGAATCAACAACATTATCTTTAAGGATGTTTTTATTTATTTGTTCTTTTGTTTGATCGTGTCTTTTGGAAGTGATTGTTTTCTCAAAGCTCTCCACAATAAGTTGAACTTTTATCTGCTCCTCTTTAATTAGTGCTTGAAGTTACTGACTAGAGGTCTTTATTAATTCTGTGACCTTTGATCTGTCGTCAAGTCATTACCTTAATCTGTAACTAGCCTATGTAGGGGATGTGAGGAACTCATTTCCCTCCTAATAAGCATGAGTATTACAGTTGTGCACGAGGAAGTAAGAGGAACTCGCTAATGACAACAGCTCCTAATATCTTCAGAGGCTGGCAGTCTCTGCAGGGCTATGAGTCGATCTTTTTTGCAGAACATTTAGGCCAGATGACTCCTGCATGACTCTTGTCTGTCCAGTGGTGCAATATAATTCAAAAAATTACTTTGGCGGCAGAATTAGTTGGGTCTTGATAAAGTTTCAGGCAGCAATATGCTAGCATATTTCACATTTGGGTTTTGATGATCAGTAAGATGATGAGACTTTTCTCCAGAAAGGGATTCTGTGCCTTTGATTTCATTTTGGCTTTGTTGCATTTTTTAATGCTTCAAAGACACAGTTTTAAAATAAATCATCTCTGTGCTAGACAGAGGCATGTGGAAGAAGCTTTGGAGGGAGTTGTTTAATACGTTCTGTGGGCATATCTCTTAGATTTATCAGCTACATCACAATTTTACACATTTTTTCACTTCACTTTCACCATCAGTGTTCTATAACACAGTACTTCTACAAAAAGCATAAACAAACAGACATTGTACTGAGAGGTCTTCTTTTTCTGACTACAGCAAAGCTCTCAAAAAATCAGGGAGAATAACGCAGTTAAAGACTATACAGATGCATTTTATCAGACATTTTAAAAGATTGTAGTTTGACTGGGCAAGAATATAAAATTTATTAACACTGCATGACAATCACCAATTAGCTCCATTGTTCCCCGTTCTGATAACACCTCTGCATAATGAGTTAGATTAGCCTTTTATCTAGATGAAAGACTCAATTTTCCAACAGATTCCTTAGACATGAGTTAAGCAGAGTGATTCATGAATTTCAATTAAAATGAAAGACCTACCTCCTACTTTATTATGCCATCCCTTCCGTACACCGGTTCAGATCTCAGGAGAAGGGTGCGCTTTATCCTTTCTCCCATATTCAAAACTTCATTTCCATATTTCTTTTTTATTTTTTTCTAAGGGATGTGACACATTTGCATTTCCCTGTTCTTGCTGATCAGAATTTGCTGATTGAAAGTAAACGAAATCAACTCATCATGGTGACATTGAATTCGTCTCCTCTTCTGTTTGAATACCGTGCATACGGTGGACTCGATTGATTACATGTAGTCAATCTCACACCTTTGTTATCGTCAGCACAAATGTTGAAGCCCCCTTTTCTTTTTGCTGGCTTACTGTAATTAGATGTTTTTCTGCCAGAGCTCAGAAATCTGCCCTAAATTATCTTTCAATCTCTGGTTTACCATTTTTGCCTTGGGAGCATTTCTGCGATTAGCACCAGCTCGTGGGTGTTTGGGATTCACTCCTCTTTCTGCTCTCCCGCAGGCGGTGGATCCTAATCGAAGCCTGATTGAGTGATAATCTATAGTAGCACTGTTCAGGCCTGCATCCAGCTCTCTGTTGACCTCTCTGCCTGCAGGATGAGCGCCATAGTGTTGCACACAGAGCTGCAAGATCGCCCCAGGGCTTATGTTGTTTAAAAAAAAAACATGCTGTTCTCTTGCCCGTTTTTCACCTTTGATCATAAAACAAGAAAAAAAAAGCAAAAGAGACAGAACTTGGATGACATGTTGGATGAGGTCTGATCAGTTAAGGCGTTGGTCTGTCTGTTCTGCTGTCCTTGGATTGTGTATCATCCCTCCACAGGCCGTGTTAGTGGACTGCTGATTCCCATCAGGCGGAGTTTCTCTCTCTTCGTATTGGCCTGACTGTCTCATTCCTCAGATAAGAGCCTGTCTGTCTTAACCCTGCTGGCCAGATGACCTTGGCTGCCACAGATTTATTCATGCTAAGTGCTTATTTTTGTGATACTTTTCTTTCTGGCACTGTGGCAAAAAAAAAAACTCCATGTAGGTCACTTTATTATCCAGCTGAACCAAACACCCAACTCTTATGAATGTGCTCCCAGGCATACTGATGCCGACCCAATCAATTGGGTGCCGTGTTGCTCAATATGAATGATCAAGAAAACTGCACACTTAGTAAACACTGCGGTGCCTGGACCTGCTACATTAAAGCATCACTATATGACAAAGCACTGGCTGATCAAATTAGAAGGGATTTACAGCTTGTTCCTTCATGGCTCAACAGCTCATTGTGGAAAGTAAAGCTGTGTCATAAACAGAGATGTTGACCAAAGACTCAATCTCCTAAAAAATCATTTAGCCCAGTGTCAAGTAGTGGAGATGGATGTTAAATATGAGTGCCATGGCTAAGATTTAGTCCCTTGATGGTATTAGGGAGATATTGAGTGTTCAATTTTATGGGCCATTTTCTTTCAGCTGTTATCTTTGTGCTTTTCATTATGCTGTTTATTGGTGGTTTAATGATGTTTTACACTCTGCTTATGTGTGTGTGTGTTAACTCAATTATACCCTACACTGATGAGAGAATGTCTCTGTGTCTCTCAGCTCTGTGTACAGAGGAGTGTGTCCATGGTCGCTGTGTGTCTCCTGATACATGCCAGTGTGAGCCTGGATGGGGTGGACTGGACTGCTCTAGTGGTGAGTGCCCTTTACTCCTAAACCTGCATTTAGTCACTTAGACCCATTTACAGTATTCCTAAAATTACTTTCACCAGCCAGTTAATCCATAAGAATTTACTGTGAATCCTACAACTGTTTTGCCTCGATGTGCGTCTATCTCAAAGCTGCTCAGCTTTGTATCCTCTCTTCTTAGCAAACACAGCCAATGGAACAGGTAAGTCACAATGAATTCATTTTCATTTGCTGGAAGTGGAAGTGATTTGCTTGATGAATTTAGCGGATGGATGGATGGTTGCATCCCCCCTGTGTCTACCAAGCTCTCTGTTATGGTCTTAATCATGATTAGACTGGTGCCTATGACTTGTTCAGTGGAATGATGAATCAATGCCAAGCTAAAACAAGCCATTGTGCTGGCCTTTCTGTTTCCCGGGGTTTCCTCACAACTCCCGGAGCTGGACTCCAGGAGGGATGGGAGGGTGGAGTTATGCATATCCATCCTGCAATCAGCTAAATGCTGGAGAGTCACTGAGGCCAGACAGGAGCAAAGAATTTATTTACTTTTGTGATATTTATGTCTGCAAAGAAATGAATGTGAATGTGCATACAGGAGGCTCTTATCCCCAGATGGCAATAACCCAGTCACTATTTTCTGCATCAACATTTCTGACCCCAAATTCTTAACTTCAACTGTCTGCTCCTTGTAGCATTCAACTGTTATTGCCTGTTGCATATTTAGGAATGAGAAATGGGAGCTAAAATCATCATCATCGGTAGTGTTATTGTATAGATCTATGAGTTTTCATTAGCAAGAGAGCCATTCCCTGATTAGCAACTGTGTGTAAATCAGCTGCTCTCACTGCAGTGCCGGCCCATTGGAGGTGGATTCATGGGCATAAATGACAAGCCTGAGCTGTTTGCCGCCGCTCACTCCTACAGTCTGGTGAGGGGTCCAATGGGGAGGATGTGAGGTGCAGGGTCCCCAGGGACTCTTGTCCCAATCTTGGTTGGTTAGGAGTGCAGTTGTGTGTGCCTTGCAGCCTGCAGGTGCTGGGCTAATCCACCTTATTAAAACAGACTTGATGATTGAGACAGAGGCATTATTCATAACTTTAGATTTCCATACCAGGCATGATTCCAGGCTTTTTCATTTACGAGCTTTCATCTGTAGAAATGAGGAATGCGTGCCAATTTTTAAATTAAATCTGCCCTCTTTTTCCTTCGTGTAAATGGTTCAGCATGTTTTTTTGTCTTTCACTGTAAATTTTACTTTCACCCAGCTCAGATAGGTGATGTGTGCTTTGGTAGTCTTGTGGAAGTCAATGCAGCCATTATATTGTGACTCACATGGGCTGAAAAGCACATATTAGCGTCTATTCAGTTCCAACACAATCAATGCCATGGTTTATTTTACCGGTATTATGTTTGAGTTGAGGTATTTGTGCTCACATAAAAGCCAATTCCCTGACACGATAGCTGGTGAGAGGGCAGAATGAGCTGGTCACATGATGAAGGATGTGTGAATGTGATATAAAGTGTGTCGCCCAGGCTTGGAGATGAAGAGCTGCCGTGGGATGCTGAGCGGCCTAAAGCTGAAGTGACAGCCTTTCAGCCAGTGATCTGGAGCTGGATCAAAGGCTTGGGCCCCGTTTCTGGAGCAGCACCCACCAGGAAGCAGTTTTGTATATGGGTCAGGTGGTGAAAATAAAGAGTTGGACTGTTTGTGGCCAGAAAAGAGAAGGCGATAAGGTGGGAGAAATTCAGTAAGTTATGTTGGGAGCAGTGGTGAAGGCTGAAGAAAGATACTGCCTGATTTTCACCTGCTGGTGTCCACCTGCTGTAGCCAGAAAACATTTCATCCTCTTTCCCTGGCCTGAGGCAGCAGTCCCACTGAGACCAGACCTGCTCTGTGATCTGGCCTGGAGTCCTGGGGTGTCTTCGTTCCATCTCAAGGGCACACTAGTAGATGTGGACCAAAGATAAATCGGCAAAAAAAGGATGTTTGCTGTTGACTGTTGTTTGCAAATGTTGTCTCGTTCTACATCCATCACATGTGGATTTGGAGCATTCTGGGTTGAGGTTGTGTTTTCCCAAAAGAGTGATGAATGATTAATTGATGTTGTTGGTTTGTGTGATTGCTCTAATGCCTGCGTGTTGTGTTTGTGGAACGTGGTCTTGAACATGTTTCTCTGATCAGATGTCATGAAACAAGTTTTTACTTTTTCATTTAACAGCTCGGGGCATTAAAACAGTGTGGTGACATGTACCTGTTAATGTTTTATTTATTTTGTTGTCAGTTGTTCTCTGTTGTGCTTGTGTTTTCCATTGCTTTGCCTTATTCTCTTTTTATATTGAAATGCACTGTGTTCGTCTTCTTTGTGCCGCAGTGTATACTTTGTTTTGTCAGTAGGGTTTCTCTCGAAAAACAACTTTGTTCTCAGTAGGATTTTCACAATGTAAATAAAAAAAAAATATTAGACTCAATAAAACAGGGACAGCAGCAATTTTTGCAAAGGCAATTCAAATAGATGGAGCTCTGCTTATGGGACTGAACAGTATGTCTTTAGTCATTTTAGTCTTCTGAAGTATAGTACTAGGTTTTGACAAAGTAGTGATATTATTGGTTGTAGTTTGCAACAAATATGGTATATGTTGCTGTAAAAAGAATGGTGCAGTATGAGATGAAATGGGAAATCAAATCTTTGTAGAATATTATGAGTTTATTAAATGAAAACTGTATCAAGTTTTTTCAGAACCTTATGAGTTTCTTGGGTTTAAAAGTAGACTTTATTTTTTCTAAAGTTGCAGAGAAATGACCCAGTCTCTTTGCCTCCATCGTGATGTACTTTTCTGCACTCATGATTTAATCTCTTTTGATGAGACTGTCACACAGGGTCACTATATGCTACAGTAATAACAGCTTTCAAATAAAGAGAATGATAAAGATAGGTATGTACAAGGTATATTTAGCTATGACTGCCATCACTTGTAAGATATTAGGTGCAATGAAGCACTGTCATTGATTTCATGTGCTCCAGTCAGATAATGATATGTTCCCAGTTCTCAGGGAAAGGGAATGTGCATAAATATGGAGCTTTTAGTGTTTCTTCTCTCTGCCTTACTGGAGTTTCTTCCCCTTATTGTGGTGGAAATGTTCACCCTCTTGTGCAGAGATTCTAAAAATCAATGCCACCAAGATAAGTATCTAGAAAGTCCAAGGAGTAGTTTAGCTTTGTTAACCAAAAAGAATCATTTGTGTTCTAAGAAGAAATCTATCACACTTAATAGCCAAATCTAATGTGGTTGGTCAGCTGTGGTCCATGAGGTAACATATTCCTCCCTAATGTATTCAAATAGGAATGCAGCCACTGCTGCGGGTGCTTTACACATGGTTAATTGATGAATGTGGCCTATGAACACTTGGTTATGGGATATTGCACCAGACAGGGGAGCTACATGCTACTTATGTTAATTGTCAACAAAAACAGTAAGATTATTCATTATTAAGGTTTTAAATCAGTGATTGGTTTCATTAGATATTGAACTCATTGTGTCAGATTGAGAATTTGGGCTGGGTCAAGCAGACATAGCAGATATTTCCTTTATTTCCTTTATTTCATTGTAGATGATATTGCCCCAACCAGCATAGACACAATGTGAAGGAGTAACCGGACCAAAACCGTGCGGTTAAACTTCATTTTGGCTTGAAAAACACCCTTGTGAGGACTCCCTCTGGCACCCGTCGACAGTATTTACACATTATTCTCAGAAGTGCATCTGTGCCAGATGGTTCCACTCCAATCCCACAGCAGCAGGACATTGACATGCATCGCTGTCAAAGACCAAGAGACTGTGAATTACACTGAACAGGACAGAGATGCACACACAGATTTTCAGCAGCTTGACACATCGCTCCAAATGTCTCTATACTTTTCTCCCAAAACTTCTCTCTTCATTAATCTTACAGATAGTGAACTCAATATTTGTGTGTGTGTGTGTCTTTTTGTGTGTGTGCATTTTGAATTTCTACATCAGTGTTAAAGCAACAAGTCACTTTTCTTTTAGATGATATCAACAAAAAAAACTGGAAAAGTGAGATTGGATCTCCACACCACCTTTTAAAAAGGAAGTCTAAATCGATTGAATTCCTCATTAAACAACCATGTAAAGAGAGACGTTTTGGGAGAAGTATAAATATTCTAACTATGATTCTGAAAGGGGTTCCTTGCTGCTTGTAACAGTCGATGCTGACTGCCTCATTCATTTTGGTAGATCAAAGCGCCCAGGCAATGGTTTTTCTTCAGGGGACAGGAGATGGACCGATCTATAGTGCCTTGTGGAACATAGTTACTACTCTGTATGTGCGTGTTTGTGTGTGTGTGTGAGTGTATCCATGAAGCCCTCCTGCGTTGACAGAGCTTTGTTTTTGTATAGTACACTGGGCTCCCGGGGAGCGTTGCAGCCAGTTTATTTACTGCCAAGTATGTGACAGTGTTATTTATTTTCTCCACAGCACAGAGTTCATGCTCATTGAGATATCACCTCTTTTCTGACTCTTGTACTGATGAGCTGGAGCCAGTTTCCAGTTCGATCTTAATGTAGTTATCACGTTTATTGGTGTAGATTTCTTGGGCGTTCAGACCAACCAACGCAGCCCTGAATTAAAACAATGTAAGGAGCTATGTTGGTGGGGACGTGTTGTTTAAGGTACCAGTGACACAATGAAACACATTTATTATATTATTTATTTTACTCTAAGACAAGATATTACAACAGCATAAAAATGTTTTATCTTGGACGATTAGAAATACAGCATTCATGTTACAGAGTAACCTAATTACCAGGAATATGTGCTTCCACGTATTTGATAGATTTATTGGAAGTTGAGACTGGCTGAACTTTTGCTGGACAGCAATACAACATCATCTGGCTGCAGTGCTGCACTTGAATCAGGCTCAACATTTTTGTCAGACAACCCTGTGTTGTTTTGCCGGAGTCCCCTTCGTTGCCAACCCTGCTAC